TGACCCTATTATCTTACTCTTTTCCCTTTTGCACCTTGTTTTTCATGACCTTCCAGACACACCAAGGTGAGTCCTACACAGCCCTTGAAGGCACAGAAGACTCCTTGCAGGTGGAGGCAGGTCATGATCCCCATGATCATGAAGGATTTGAGTTCAGTGAAGTATTTGTTCATCAACTCATCCATACAATAGAGTTTGTACTCGGGGCAGTATCAAATACAGCTTCATACCTTCGTTTATGGGCACTCAGGTATTCTACCCGAACCATGATCTGGCTCTTGAAACAAGACATTATAGTCCGTTACCCTTTTTGAGGTAGTAATATCCTTTATATTATAAAAGAAACAACCAAAAACAATGATGTGGCACCATGAAAGTTCAGTATTCTCAAATCTTGAGTTGTGGTGGTTTTGGTTATCCCACATCGATGAGAAAATGATAGATTGCAAGAGGAAATGTGGTATATGAAAGGAACAACCACAAACAATGATGTTTGCACCCTGAAATTTTAATATTCTCAAATCTTAAATTTTGATAACTGACATTAACTTCGACTCCCATATTTTCTACTATTATGTGATTCAATCTCAACTGATAAGGGCACTTGTCTTTCAGCTTGGCGCATTCAGAGTTGTCAACTGTGTTCTATGAGAAGGTTCTTCTTCTTGCTTGGGGGTGAGTTGTTTCTTCTTATGGCTACTAGCCATGGTCCTACTTCTGGTCTAATAGTTTTTTATGCCTTCTATCTTGTTCAACTTATGGAGTGTAGGTGATTTACTATTGTTTCTTAAAGAGCATGCTTTACAAGGACCAATCTACAGAATTTTAAAAAAAGCAAGTAAATAAATAACTTTTAATTCCATCCCAGATTGCACAAACCTTTTGTTTTTTGTTTTGATTATTCAAATTAAAGCAATGTGCACATCCTTGTTTCTGTTATTTTAGTTAAAATGTTCAATTCCACGTTTCTATCTGAATCATCACTTTTAGCTAATTAAGTGACTCTGCTTTAAAATTGGTGGATCAAGATGCTCGTTTATTTTGGGATGGTTGTATTGTATACATGGCAAAATGCTGGTTTGAACACAACAGTTGGATGGGTATACTTTAACAAACATGCGAGGGTTCGAGTCTCGCAACCTAATTGTGGGAGTTAATAGTTCTTTTGGGGATTGGTTTCCTTGTGGACAGTGAGCTCTTAACTAAGGAGCCGTTTACCCAAATGCCACCCAGGTAAGAGTCGTCCGCCTCACTTATTGGATAAGACTCTCCATCCTTGTTCTTGCTCTTACCGGTTAAGGTTCTCGGCCTTTGCCATGTTCATCCAGTAAGGAAAATTACCCGGTAAGCACTTACCGGGTAAGCGTTTAGTAAACCCCCTAGGTTGCCTAGCAGGCCGCTTTCTACCTGATTTGCCTCTCACATGATGCTCTTGGGGCGAGGTGGTGTGGACTGCCTTTTTTTGTGGGGGGTAGGGGGGGGGGGACCCTTTGCTCAAACACAACTGTTGTTTGAAGAAATCATAATTGTGGTGTCCTATAGGTTCTTGTAGTTTTAGTTGATTCGTGGTCGGTTCTTATTAGTCTTACCTGCATGTTTAAGTTGTTATGTACGTTAGTTTCTACCTGTAATACATGTTTTATTTGATTACATTTCCGCTTACACACCATTTAATCTTTATTCTCTCTGTTTTATTTTCCGAGCACCTATCATATTGCCTGCTTGCACACACCTCTACTTTTTTTATAAGTCGGGGGTCTTCACAAAAAAAAAAAACCTCTTGATCCCAGTGGTTGAGGTAGGATCGCTATACTTCCTACCCCTCCCAGATCTTACTTTCGAATGGAAGATACTGTGTTGGTTTGGTTTTATTGAAATAACAAGCACGACATCGAGTCATTCTTTTACTCAACAAACATTTTTGATCCACAGGTACAATAACGTGATTATCCTTATCGTGGGTATCATTGTGTTTATCTTTGCAACCGTGGGGGTGTTGCTAGTGATGGAAACGTTGAGTGCATTCCTACACGCGTTAAGGCTCCACTGGGTGGAGTTCCAAAACAAGTTTTACGAAGGAGACGGGTACAAATTCGCCCCCTTCTCGTTCGCATTACTCGGTACTGAAGAGGAATGATGAGATGCCCATCTTTAAATAAAGAAAAAAGAAGCCAGCAGTCATGCTGTTTGTGCATAGTTGCATCTGTAAGTTTACTATTTTACCCCCCATCAATTTGGACAATGTTATATATATAGATGAGAATGATTGGAAATGGCGTTTTTTGCAGCATTGCGTCCACCATTTTTTGTGCTAATAAGAAGTATCGTAATAGGGACAGCCTGTGAAGTGGTACAACAATTTGTATGACAACCTTTTGGTAATAAAAATTCGTTTATTTATGGAAACAGTAAGTATATGAAAGGTCTAAGCGATCGTATCTATACGAGATTTATTGAGTTTGTTTGGTTTTCTTATGACTGGACCTACGGGTGTAAACAAGCCAAGTCGAGTAGTAGGTTATTCGAGCTTGGCTTTAGAAAATAATACCTGGCTCGAGCTCGATTGCTTTTTCAATGTAGGGCTCGAGCTAGAAACTTTTTTAACTTATCGAACTTGAGATCGATTCTCGTTTATAGGCTTGAACTCGTGATCGTTTACTCGTTTATTGGCTCGAGGTTAACAATTTTTATATTTTTACATGAATATTTGAGCATGTTTGGCTTGAAAAAGTGGATGCTCGACTGACACGGTTCGGCTCGACTCGAAGTATTTAATCGAGTTTTTGTACGAGCCAAGTTGAACATTTGTGTTATGGAGCTCATCTCGTTAAGTTAGAAAAGTTCTATTCGTGCTCGAAATCGACTCGAGCTCAAGAATTATCAAGCTCAAAAAAATGTGCTCGAGCTCAAGTAGCTCGTTAAAAGCTTGACTTGTTTACACCCCTAACTCGACCAACCGTAGGTCCAAACGGATGAAGATAGGCATGGGAATAGAGCCCCGTCCCCCACTAGGGTATACGATCACATCTCTGTCTCTAAAGGGGAATCTGAGATTTTTTTTTCCATTTATTTGAGATATTTTAAATTAAATGTGTTGATCACCATAGTCGATCCAAAATGATACATGTTTGAATCTCATATATTTCCAAAATTTTGCTTTTATGTGGTATCAAATATTTATAAGTGAACAAAATCACAATATTATACGTAATTGCTTGATCAAACTCTTTCGACCCTCCATGTTTTTTTATCTAAAAAAGTGTATACAAGAAGAAATGTGAAAATACTTTTTCTAAATCTAAAAGATACTAAAATTGGTTATTATAATATATTTAATATACGGGGATGGGGCGGGTCGAGGATCACGTTACCCCGTCCTGTCCATAAAATTGGTTATTATGGTATGTTAAATATGCTGAAGTTTATAAGACCATAAAACTGTATGTTCTATATAAAGGTAAATGTGTGAGAACATGATGATAGAACGTATGTATTGCAGTCTAACAAGATTTTTTTGGATATTTTTTAAATAAAGTCTTTATTAAGACATTTATGACATTTTTTAAGAGTATATTTATGAACTCTTTATAAGTTAAAAGTTGAAGAGCATATTTTTGAAATAACTTATATTGTGGTTTTAAGTTGATTTTAAGGTTATTTAGTCAATCAGTTGCTTTGGGCTACTGAGTGTTACATATGATTCGATAACAAGAGAGCGAAAGATTATGCATCAGCTTTTCTCATGTGTCCCAATATCAGAGCGTTTGGTAGGCAAATATGATTGTACTGGACTGGACAAGACAAATATTATATTAGGGTTACATCAAATGAGGGTAATTAATATCTTTTTTTTTAGTTTATGTCTCGTCCATCTTGTTTCACTTTGTCTCATCCAGTCTTAGTTATTGTCCTTGTCCCATGTTCTGCCAAACATGGGGCATCGAGTTTTATCCTTCCGTCTTGTCTGGTAATACCAAACGCAACCCTAACGATTATGGCTTTCCAAATTTCTTATTCTGATTAATCCTTTTTGCTCAGACATTCTCGTTTGCACCATGATTTAATGCTTAATCAAAAAGTCTTTCAAGATGATAGATTACAGATTTGGGAGCCATAATGACAAAATTAAGCAACATATATAATTCATTTTTTAAGGGTGTTCGTTTAAACTAGTCGCGACAAATTGTGATTGCAAGAAATCAACCCTAATAAACTCAGTGACCCTAACTGTTGTGTACATTTAGATGGAACCCTATGCATTTTTGCCTTTCAGATTAGGTTAACATTAGAGATGCCTATCAAAAGGCCTTTAGCCTGTGAGTATGTAGAGCCCCAGCCTTCCAAGAGATTTGGGGTCGGTGATTGATTCAAGATTTTTGTTGAGTAGATGCATCTTTAAGGTGGATCAAAGGTCCGCAAAGTCGTGTGATGTCTTTTGAACCGAATTCCACCGTTTCAAAGGATATTTTTAGTTTTTTGGTTGATTTTTTGGGATTTTATTTTTTTTGGTTGATTTCGAGAATGTTTTGGGTTCTTTTTGTTGATTTTGAACATATTTTTTTTGGTTTGATGTTCCTAGTATTTTCTAACAGCCCAATGTACCTTTCGAAGTTTAGCGGGTGCATCTTTCATTCCCCAAAAAGAATCTGCTTACAAAAATAAGTTCATTCGACTGTGATTCAATTCTCACTAAATGTGAGAAACGTGTGTGCGTTGATTTATTTTATATAAATATTATATACTTCAAAAGAAAAAAATTGAGATGCTCGGTCCCGGTTCAAAGCATAAAAAAAAGGTCCCAGTTCTCTAGTACCTGGTTTCGATTCTTAACTGGTTTTGGATCCGAATTTAGCAATCATTCAGGCCCGACAAAGCAAGGGCCCTATTTTGTGTCTATATGTATGTAGGCGCAAATTTATTTAGGAACATTATATATTTTAGGACATAATAACCACCTGTTTTTGTGAGTATTTATTATTCATCAGAAATATTTGTCACGACATTTATCATGAATATTTTATCATATTATTCATCATAATACTCACAAAAAGGATGATTCATACGTTTCTAAAAATATGTAAGGTTACTAAATGAACCTCCTTCTATGTATGTACTTTTTTTCTTCATATATAACGACTTTCACTCTGCTTAATAACGGGTGCAAGAACTTTATCCGGTTTGGGCTCGAAATCCCGATCATCGTGTTGGTTTCGGTCCTTCGTCCTTTTGTGCACACTTGTGTTATAATTACCTAGTGATATACAAAAACGAGCCAATTTTATCATAATTTAGTTAAGGCGTAAAAATACATGTAATGTTGTCGTTTTATTGTAACGTTACAGTTTTGAAATGTTTTATAGCTTTATTAGAGCATCTCCAACAACTATGCTAATTTTTTTTCTAAAATAAAGTATTAAAAGTCAAAATCCCTAAAAAAATTACATCCAACTTCAACTACTCTATTTTTACAATTCTAACATTAACTGTATTATTAAAATATTTTCAATACATTTAATAAAATATTATTTTTCTCTAGTAAACATTTATCATTAATATCTTGTACTGGTGGAAAGTATTAAAATAATAATTTCTCTCTAAATTTAGAGATTTTTACAATTTCTCTATTTTTTTCTCTATTTTAGCATACAAGATAACATAGTTGTTGGAATAAAAAATTGTTAAAATACCTCTTTTCTCCATTTTACATGGGTTTTTTTTGTTGAAGTATATAATATTTATATACGGCAAATGTAACAAATAAACTCACACACCCTTCTCACCTATGGTGAGGTTTGAACCCCTGACCTCCTAGAAGGCCAAATACTACGATACCGCTAGGCCAAAGGCCCTTTGGTTCCATTTTACATGGTTGTTGGAGATGTTCTTACTAACACTGCTTATGGATAGCTATGTGTTAATAGCTTCTTTATTAAAAAATTTAAATCCACCTCTGAGAAGAACAAAAGTTAAAAACAGTTCGAGCCTTGCAACTTTGTAAGAGCACTCGAGATTTTTTTTACTGTTCTTCAGAATCTCTGGGTTATTCGAAATACAAACTGATCTAAATATTTAGAGTTAAAATATGGTTTGATTTAATTATATGTTAGTGCGGACCGAGTTTTCGGTCTTACCCATCCATCATGGGTTTTATATCCTCCATCACCCGGTCAGTTGTTTCCCCCCATCCTCCGTAGCAGAGGCCACTTCATAGCTTATAAAGTGAGTAAACCACAAATTTGGTCCACGTGGTTTGTCAAAAATAACATTTTTATCCTTACAGTTTTGAAACTACAAGATGATTATTATGATTTGCGAAAACGTCCAGAATTAGTTTCTTTTTCTAACAATTGTTAAAAAAATTCCGTTAAATATAAGAAGCATTTTCATCATTTTTTTGTCTTTTACCTAATCAAGAAGTAAAAGACAAAAAAAATCGATAAAAGAACGAAAGGGACCACATCTAGATGTTTTTGCAAACAATAATGGTTTGGTCATTTTGTAATTTCGAAAACATAGAGATGAAAAATGTTACTTTTAACAAAGTATATGGACCAAATGTGTAGTTTACTCCAAAATAATCAATAACTTTTTGTCGTTGACAATGTGAACGGATGTCATGGGTATCTTTCGTTCCCACCCAGCAAAAAACGGAGTCAATTTTTCCACACCATTTATTAATCGACGTCTCTTCGTTTCATTCCAATCATATATACAGAGGAGCGATTAAATGAAAATCGTCCTCATTTGTGTAAACCGTACAAATCACGCTCATACGTCCATTTCATTGTTTAATCTTATGAAATTTTTTCATAAAGTTGTTTAATCTTGTGAAATTTTTTCATATAATATTTTTTTTTGATGAATTTGTTTCATATATAGTTATGAAATTGTTTCATATAATATTTAATGAAACTGTTTCATGTATTTCTCTAAAATTAAAATAATGAAGACGATAATATCCATGATTAACACCCTCCACAAAAAAAAAATTAATCAAAACAAAATAAAAAATTATGATTGGTTGAATGTGGTTTTCACGGTTTATACAAATTGGATGATTTTTATTTGAACCTCCACCTCTCTATATATATATATATATATATATATATATTCTTAAAAATTGAACTAACATGAATTTATTAAGTAATAGTGAGCTATCAAACTTTTTTTTATATATATAAAAGTTTGATAGCTCGCTATCGAATTTATACAGACTTATTAAAGTATTCTAATCAATTACCAAATTATACGTGTAGTTCATTTGATAAATAGTAGGATGACTAAATATAAAATAGGTTTTAATTTCGATCCTAGGCCCTCGCTTGCCGAGTGAGCCAAAAATTCCACCTCATATGGCGTCCTTGAAGATAGGTTTCATATGAGGACGGCATAGACGGGACCCTATAGGGGTGGTTAGGTGGCACGTTTCACCATATTGTTCCTTCATGATAAGGTAAAAAAATAGGTTTGTGAAAGGTACAATCATTTTATATGGTATCACCGTATCCAAAAATTCTGACAGTTAAGATTATTGATGATCAATTTTTTGTCCAAATTAATATAAATTTATCAAAATATAAAGATTATGTTGAGAAATTTTAGGTCCCCTTTCAATGTTTTGAACTACTATCATCAAGACTCCATTGACTTTTGACTTTAGAGGCATGGGTGGACCTATGTATGTAGGTATGCATGTACCTATTTTGATAATATATATATATATATATATATATATATATATATGCAGAATATATAATAGATTTCAGATTTTATTTTTTAAAACAAGTAATTATATAAAATATGTAATTTTCGATTTATAACAAAATTTTACATCTCCACCAATACATAAACAATCTCTAAATTTATAAAAAGTTATGATCTTGATTTGATTGTAGATAAAAAGAAACATTTTTTTACAAATATTAATTGATTCTTGAAAAGTATAACAAAGTTTTTTAAAGGGTAAATTGTATGAAAAAGTAACATATTTTAACTTGATTTTTATTTCGGGTAATGTACTTTCAAAACTTTTATTTTGATACCTAAAATGTAAAGTTTTAAACATTTAAGTACTCGGATAAACGATTGAAGTATTAACCGATTACCGTACTGATATGACAAGTTATGTGATATTCAACTTAATATTAATTACTTAAAAATTAAGTGGTATCAATAGAGAGAGAGAGTGTGTGTGTCTGAGGTTGTAGGTGAGGATGAGAGAGAAGGAACACTTGTCATTTGGCATCGTCTATATAGTCGTTTAAAAAAAGTTTTTAATTAATAAATAAATTAAATATAATATTCTTACGATTAACTTCGTTAGGGACAAGAATAGATGAAACAAAATACAAACCACGAAGATAATCAATGTATTTAAAAATTTAAAAAAATGAACCATATTCAAATTTCGGTTAATTCATTTTTAGTTTAGGTTTACAATGTAGAATGAAATTTCATCAATAAGAATTAATAATTAAATATAAATAAGAAGAAGTCGTCTTTATGTCACGTTACCGAGGTTCTTATTTCAAAAAAACTAGAAGGGTACTTGCACAATGCAGCGAAATATATCTTTATTTTAATGTTTCGTTTTGTTTTTTTGTCTCTGTTGATATAATACGGTTTATGTGGTTTTGAGAAATATAATGTTTTTATAATTTAGTGAAGTAATTTATTTTTGGCTTAACAATAAAATTTTATAAAGATAATGATTCTGTTAGAACTCAATGATTATCTTAATTATATTTTAGTTTTTTATATATTTAAAAATTGAGATGTTTATCTTGTATTTGATTATGTTTGTCTACAGTTAGTTATACGAATTAAAAAATAGAGCTTTAATAAGTTGTACTTATGCATAATTTACTTGTAATCTTAAATTTTAAGTAATATGCATTAATACACAGTACTTCATGCATAAAGAATGATTTTTAAGAATTTTTGTCAAATGTTTTATAATACAATATAGATAGATCATGTGTTTTTAAAAAAACAATAATGGTTTTATTTTTGAATAAAATATAAATTTGAAGATATTATAAAATTTTGAAAAAAATATATATCAATTTCAATATCAAATCAACTATTTAAAAATTTTCATTTGTTATGTAAGTTATTTTTTTATTATAATTTAATTTAAGTTTAATAATTAAATAATTTATTTTTGGTTTAATAATATAAAATTTTATAAAAGATAATAATTTAGTATTCTGTTGGAACTCAATGATTATCCTAATTATATTTTAGATTTTTTATATTTAAAATGATATGTTGTATCATGTATTTGATTATGTTTATCTACAGTTAGTTACACGAATTCAGATATGTAACTTTAATAAGTTGTATTTACGCACAATCTACTTGTAATCTTGAGTTTTAAGTAACATACATTAATAAACAATATTTTATGCATAAAAAATAGCTTTTAAGAGTTTTTGTCAAATATTTTATAATATAGTAAGGGAGAGAGATGTTTTGTAGGTGCAGGTCAGAGGGAACGAACACTTGACATCGTCTACATAGTCGTTTAAAAAGAGTTTTTAATTAATAAATAAATTAACTATAATACCCTTGAGTTAACCTCGTTACAGACAAAAACAGGTCGAAACAAAATACAAACCACGAAGATAATCAATGTACTTAGAAATTTGAAAAAAACCGAATTATATCCAAATTTTGAGCAGACCACGTGAAAATGTTGGTATAATTTACACTTTAAAATAAATTGACAGAAGAAATTCAAAATTGGAGTGTGTAGATATAAATATACACACATGATCCCCTCCTTAAAATTAGGGAATAAGCATCGAGATCACAGGCGACTTAATAGAATAAGCCATCAGGGTTTTAGTTGTCATTAAAGATGGTTGACAAATTCTCGAATATCTTCTTTGCATATTCCCCTTCAGATTTTCAAAACCTCATCCTATAAATACTGTGGGAGGGGAGATTTCTAGTTTGGTGTAGGTTAAGCCTCTGAAAGAGGCAGTGAGGTGCGTAGGATAAGATGGGTGTCTTCTGCTACACTGTTCTTGCTTCTCTTCTTGCGGTTTTGGTGTTGAAATCAGCTCTGATTGTTGATGGAGGCTTAACCAGCAGCTTTGTGAGAAAAGTTGAGAAAACCATTGATATGCCTCTGGATAGTGATGTCTTCAGTACGCCTCCAGGCTATAATGCGCCTCAACAGGTATGTTTTACTCCATTTTCATTTTTCCTATTTTTTTTATTAACATGGATATCCAACCGTTATGTTAGCAGACTAATCCGAACACTTGCTTTGTGGGTAGTGTGGAGTCACCGTGTTTCCGTCACTACGAGGGATTTTTATTTCTCTTTGGATTTGAACATTTTATTTCTCTTTGGATTTGAACATGAGCCCAGTACTCTTGATCTTTGTAGCTCAAGCTCAAACCAATCGGACAACATCTATCTTGTGGTTATTTTTCCTAATTTAAGATGAATATTGATGGGTTTTTTAATCAAATTTCAAAACCCATTTTGCAAATTTTATTGGGTTTTATTAGTTCAAGCAACCCATTTGCATTTTCACAATTACTTGAAGAAACCCAAAAAATCAAGAATTGGATCAAAAAGATTGAGAATTCCAACAAAAAAGGTGGTGTCTGATTGGTTTGAGCATATGCTCCAAAGGTCAAAAGTGTGCCTGGAGTTCCAAGTTCAAATCTAAGAAGGAATAAATCCCCTTACGGCCACGGAGGTTCAAATTCGATGACTCCTGAAATTAGTCGTCTCGAACAGCGGGTTAATAAAAAAAGAAATTGAGAATACCAAAAAAAGACCCAATGTTGTATTATTTTTTTTTGTTTCCTGCTTATGTAATAAAGTTGGTATATTTTTGGTGATTGTTTAAGGTTCATATAACACAAGGGGATCATGTGGGAAAGGCAATGATTGTGTCATGGGTGACCATGGATGAACCTGGTTCAAATACAGTTTTTTATTGGACTTCAGACACCAAAACAGCAAAGAGGAAGGCTCAAGGCTTTCTAACCACTTACAGATTCTATAATTATTCCTCTGGCTTCATCCATCATTGCAATATTTCTCATTTGCAGGTAATCATTTCAATTCATTCTTCCATCCACCCAGTTAGTTTCATGTTCCGTAAACTAACCGATAAGCTAGCTGTTGGCTGAAAAATTAGCTGTTGACTAAAAAGCCGGTTGTTGGTTGATAAGCTAGCTGATAAACTAGTTATGTTTGGTAAAAGGGGCATAAATGGAAAAACAACACCTAGGGATATTGAAAGCTAGTTTTATGGCTAGACGACAATGAAAAATGACCTATAAAAAGATATGTTAAAAAATTAATTGGAAAAATATAAGGGGCATAATCGGAATAAAGTAGAAAAATGCCCAGGGAGATTTTGAAAACTGGTTTTATGTCTAACACAGATGGTATTTTCAATAAGCTCAGAAAATAAGCTAGCATCTGGTTGTCAAACATGGCGTTAATATTGATATCATTAGTAGAAAAGTTCGAATTGGTTTCTAGAATCACATTAACCGGTTTTGTTTGGATATCTCAGTATGATACAAAGTACTACTATGAGGTCGGGATTGGACACACAACACGAACTTTCTGGTTCACGACTCCTCCTGCAGTTGGACCCGATGTTCCTTACACTTTTGGCCTCATCGGTATTGTGTTCTTACCATCTTTGTTCAACGAGGGTTGAAAAACTCGCTTCGTTTTAAGTATATAATATTTATATACGGCAAATGAAACTCACACCAGATATTGCTAGGCCAAAGTGCCTTTGGTAAAAACTCGAATTTTGATTCGAACCCTTGAAGCATTTTGTGTTTTGATTTGCAGGCGATTTGGGCCAGAGCTACGATTCAAACATCACGCTTACGCATTATGAAATGAATCCCACGAAAGGGCAAACGGTGTTGTTTGTTGGAGACATTTCTTATGCGGATCAGTATCCGAATCATGATAACCGGAGATGGGATACGTGGGGAAGGTTTGCGGAACGAAGTACGGCTTATCAACCGTGGATATGGACCGCAGGAAATCATGAAATTGATTTTGCACCCGAAATAGTAAGTTTCTTTATGCATTTGTGGACTTATGATGTCTAACTTAAGATTTTTCAGTTACTTAATTGACTTTGATTACGTTATAAATTCGAAGCCAAAATTGTTCCAAATTGTTGTTTTTCGTTATAAATTTGTGTATTTGACGCGCATTTATCGAATAACTTCAAGATTGCACATCAAGATTGAAGTTGAAAGTGAGTTCGTTTGACTCCAAAAGTCAAAGTTTACTTCTAAGGTCAATCTTAAGACTTTCCAACTACCTGATTAGCACTGATTATGTTGAATATCTGAACCCAAAAGTGTTTCAGTTTGTTGCATTCATTATAAGTTTATGTATTTATCACACATTTATCGAATACTTTCAAGATTGCACATCAAGATCGAAGTTGAAAGTGAGTTCGTTTGACTCCAAAAGTCAAAACTTACTTCTAAGTTCAATCGTAAGACTTCTGGAATACGTGATTGTCGTTGATTACGTTAGACATTTGAAACCGAAAAGGTTCCAATTAGTTGTATTCTTTTATAAGTTCATGTATTTGATGTACATTTATCGAATAATTTCAAGATTTTGCATCAAGATTGAAGTTGAAACTTGAAAGTGAGTTCATTTGACTCTTCTAAAACCTTCCTCGTTGGTTGCCCGGGTCTTGCCTGCCTGGGCCCCTCTCTTGTGGTTGGCTCTCTCTCTCTCTCCCCCTTCTTTCTCTCGGGGCTCTTTGGCTTTTTCTGGTGGATGTGGTTCGCCCCCACCTGAGTGCATATTTGTCTTGAGTTTTTGGTTTTTCTGCTTGATAGGAGGGGTCTCCCCCCCTCCATATAAAAAAAAAGTCTAAAACCTCACCTTTTCAAAGATAAGAGCCCATTTGACTTCAAAAGTCAAAGTTTACGTTCCGTTGCCTTCATAAATTCGTACCCCGAATCGGGAAACTTATATAAAAAGATCTTGATTCCGTTTTTGGTAATTTTGTTGCAGGGAGAAGATGAACCTTTCAAGCCTTATAACCACAGGTATCATGTCCCATATAAGTCATCACAGAGCACTGCTCCCTTTTGGTACTCCATCAAAAGAGCTTCAGCTCATATCATAGTTTTGGCTTCGTATTCCGCTTACGGTAACGTAAACGAATTCCCGATTTATTTTCGTTAAATAAAGATTTCTTGAAACTTCAGAAAGTAGAAAAGAAAACCCGATATCTGAATTCCGTTCATATGTTGTTAATCAGGTAAATACACTCCTCAATACAAATGGCTCGAGCAGGAACTACCGAAAGTCAACCGAACCGAAACACCATGGTTGATCGTGGTTATGCACTCCCCGTGGTATAACAGTTATAACTATCATTATATGGAAGGCGAAACCATGAGAGTGATGTACGAACCGTGGTTTGTGAAGTACAAAGTTGATGTCGTGTTTGCTGGTCATGTCCATGCCTATGAACGCTCGGTGAGTCCTTTTTTGTTATGCTATATGAAAACGGGAACGAGAACGAGAAAATGGGAATGAATTTGAAAATATTGATGCAGGAACGGGTATCGAACATTGCTTACAATATTGTTAACGGGATTTGCAAACCGGTGAAGGATCAATCGGCACCGGTGTACATAACCATTGGAGATGGAGGAAACCTTGAGGGCTTAGCAACCAAGTAATGTTGTCTAATGTGTTACCATATATACTCATCTTAACGTACCCGGTATATTCCACTCGGAATCGGAGGCAGGGTTTTCACATAAACCACCTTTCTACCCTTTGGGGTGGGGGTTTTCACGGATCGAAACGGCCACTAAAACAATCTCTCTACCTTTCGGGGTGCAGAGTTTTCAATGAAAGACCCTCTATATGTAGATGAACAAGGCTGAGGTTTTTTCAGGCCCGGGCCTTCCAAGCCGGTTTTCAATAAGCAAAAAAAAAATTAGGGTCCAGCTCAAAAAGGGCTTGATCGGGCTTTTCAGGCCAGGGTCTTCCAATCCCATTTTTCAGTAAGCGAAAAAAGATGAGGTTTGGTTAAAAAAGGACTTGATCAGGCTTTTTTCAAGCAGGGCTTTAACGGGCCTTGGTAAAAAAGTTGGTGGGCCCGGTCTCAGGCTTACTAGGCCCGAACTCGCGGCTTGGATTTTTTTGTACATCTTTGCTATCTACCCCTTGGGGTGGAAGAAATGAAAGGTTTGCAATCCACTTCCAAGTTAGATATATTAGGTACGGTTGGTGGTAGTACAAAAATCTAACTTGAGATCGTGTTGAATGGTGGTGTAGCATGACGGAGCCTCAACCAGAGTACTCGGCATTCAGAGAAGCCAGTTTTGGTCATGCCACTTTCGACATCAAGAACCGAACCCATGCTTACTACGCGTGGCACCGGAACCAAGACGGGTATGCGGTGACGGCCGACACAATGTGGTTTTACAACCGATATTGGAAACTTGAAGATGAATCTACAAGTACATAAAACACCATATACAGATACCACTTCACCCTTAGGAAACAGCACTATCTAGGGAATCTTTTACCAATTTACATGGTGTTCTACCTTTGCAAGTGTGTAATAAATTGAGGAAACATGGTTTGGTTTCAAATTTGATAATACATCATTTTTAGTTTCAAAGTTGGTACGAGGTTTAAGAATATATCCAACAGATAATCTGTAGCATTTTTTACGTTTGGTCCGTTGAAATCTGGAGAAATTAGAATAGTCAATTTCATCGACCAAATTTCATTCATTCTTTGATCATTATTTGAGTTTTGGTAATAAAAAAAAAATTAGATTCCACAAATGGTGGAGTGTAAATGTCATGGGTTCTATTATGGGTGTTCATGGGTTGGGTTGATTGGGTTGAAGACATTTGAACAACCCAACCTAATGCTTGCGGTTTGGAAAAATCTTAATTCAACCCAAACCAAAGTGCAACCCAACCTAACCCAACACGTACGAGTTGGTCGGGTTGATACTTTGGTATATTAAAATATTCTTATAACCTTGAATATGCTATTTTCTACTCATAATTTTTTTTCATCATCAACCATTTAATACAGCTTATTCATATTTCTTACGTATATCACATTCAGTTAATTTTCTCAATTTATATATATATGTTCACAGTTACTGAATGAGTTATATAGAGATATGAATAGATTGAAAATATGTGTATATGAAAAACATACATGATAGTGTAATTGTCTAATGTATATTTAATATAAATTCAACAATCATATTAAATCCAAGAAATAAAAAGATATCGGGTTCATTGGGTTGGGTTGAGTTCAAATAATAGTAACTCAATATCAACCCAATACCTWCGGTTTGACAATTTTACAACTCGATTAGACATCGGGTTGATTTGGATTGGGTTATTTTGCGTTGGGTTGGGTTAGATTGATCGGGTTTTTGAGCACCCCTAGGTTATATCAATGAATTCCAATTCGTTTTTTTTATCACCTTAAAAAAATTATTAACTCTTATATTTACTCCATTCTACCACAATGGATGTCACAACCATCACTGTTGTCATCGTCACTACCATTGTCGCCTTCACACTCCACCACCATTGTCAGCACCATCGCTACCACCACTGCCATTGGTACTACTGTTGCCTCCACCTCACCACCTCTATTATCTATATCTATATTTATACTATATTATAAAGTATTTGATAAAAACTTTTAAAAATCATTTTTTATGCATGAAATAATGTATATTGATGCATATTACTTAAAATTCAAAATTACAAGTAAATTATGCATAAGTACAACTTATTAAAGCTTCATGTTTGAATTCGTGTACCTAACTGCGGATAAACATAATCAAATAGAGGATAAACATCTCATTTTAAAATATAAAAAATCTAAAATATATTTATGATAATTATCGAGTTCTAACATAATCATTATCTTTATAAATATATAGGGTTGGGTTCACATTATCTTTATAAGTCATACATTTATTACCTAACGGTAATCTAACACAAATGTAGAATATATAGGGTTGGGTTCACGTGATACCAAAGTTTTTCGTGAGACCCATAATACCAATTTATGTTCATTGATCAACTTTATAAGCTAATAATCTAATGGTCTAAAGTTGTACGGTGACAATTTTGTGATTATTGAGAAGTCTCATGGTGTTTATGAATGTTCAGATTGTAGATCTAATCTAAGGATTGAGTATTGGTCTTACAGGTCTCACAAAAAACTTTTGGTCTCACGTGATCCCAAATGTGTGTATATACACACATTTGTTTGTTAATAGCTTCAAAAGTGAGTAATTAGGTTTCAATTTCAACATAAGAAATACAAGGACTTATGTGACATTTCTCAAATATAAGGGGGTAAAAATGTAAATACAGTGTCAATCATAAAAGACTCTTAAGTCAATTAATTAAATCTAAGGGGGTACGAAATGTAAATAAAGGGTCAGACGCAGACGGCTCACGGGTTTACGGCTCGCGTCAACGGAGCTCGAACAGATGCACATGGTGTAATGCTAATGCCATTGTCAAATTTATTGCCCGTGAGATCTTTGATTATTTGCTCTTGGAAGACTCGAATTCAGATGCAGGTGCATTTTGATTTCTAATTAATTTTCATAAACCTAATTCATGATCACCGACCTCAAAAACCTAAATTTATCGATGCTCAGAGAAAAGGTTGATTTTTGATGTAATGAAGGATTCCTCGGAGGTATTATAGAATGATGGATCAGAAGATGGAGAAATGCTCGTCTGAAGATGATGATCCTGAGAAACGGCAGGATAAACAAGAGGATGTTACTGCAGATCCTGAATTCGTAGGTTGCATGCTTCAGCCTTGTTCCGCGGACTCCGATCCTAACTACGTCGGGATCCGCCGCCTTCTACTATTTCGCAAGGTTCAATCCGGTCTTCTTCACCGGAAGGTAGTCTTGTATTTTTGCTAAATTTTACTTTTGGTATACTGAAGTTAAGTTAAGAAGCGAACTTGTATTCGTTTGTTTGTAAATTGATATATTGAAAGAGAATTAGTGTGAGCACACCTGCGCCAGCTTGCTTGATCTCACATTCAAGCATTATTGCTATAGCAATTGTTCGAATGAATTTGTCTAGAAGACTATGTGCTCGGCATACAGAGTAGAAACCAAACCTCATCAGAGGATGGAGAGAAACATCCTTAGTCTGACTTACAAATAGGGTTCACAAATTAGCAAATATGTTGCTGTTTTTGTGAGAAACAAATACAGTTATGGTTTCTGGTGTGTAGGATTGGAGATGCAATGGTAAAGGCTATGTGGCTTATCGCAATTTCATTAACAGGCGGGGTAGTCAAATGAATTTGCGAGTATTGAGCTACACGAGTAGTCCTGGAACCAGGTGAACAACTTTTACTTGATGTTCTACATGCTTCAGCCAACAATTTTCATTGTACTTATTTGATGTGGATTCACCATATGAACTTGCACACAAATAGTAATTGCGAACATGCATCGCTACACTGGTTTATGAGGAGTATGCTGTTGAATCAGATGCAGCTACACAAGCAAGTGATGGGATTGTCACTATTTTACAGTAGATGATAGATGCTCGTCACGCCTTCCTGTGGTTTGACAAGCTCCAAGTACATTATCATGAATAGGGTATAAATTTGAAATTTGATTTGACATAATTCTGACATCAGGTTAATTTACTGGTTGATTCATCAGTGGGCAATGGGCACCATCTCCAGGTCCAGCCTCCCTTACGCTTGAGGTGGATAGCTGGAGTGCTGGCAGGGTATGTTTTCTTTAGTTGTTTCTGCTGCACATACGTTTTGATTGGAATAGTGTATTTTGAGTTGCTCGGTATAATCTGGTTGACATTTTTACAGGATACACATGAGAGCCAGACACTGAGTCACACCAACAGTCTTGGGTCAAATTTAAGTGAAACTGATCATCCACGTCGAAAAGCTGAACCAGCATATTCATTTGTGGGAATGCATTGCATATTTGATCAATGCAAAGCCATGGGTAACTTTCTGCAACCTCCCTGCGCTAATCATTGCGTTATTTGTGCTAATATTTGTTTTTTACAAGTAAATCTTATCATATTTCTCCAGTTACTGTTATAAAGTTTGGGCATATGAGCTCTGATATACTTGCCTACGGAGCAAATGATGGAACATTGACAGTGTGCACCGTTTCTGAGCCACCTTCAATTATAGAACAGTTGAGTGGTCACTCAAAAGATGTCACAGGTTGGATTAACTGGTATCGACTCTTTAGTCTTTTCTTTAATACTAGCTTTTTAGCAGGTGTATACAGTGTCAACCATGCATATAATTATAACATACATGATAAATATTTAAGTATCTAAAAATAAAAAGATACATTATAGTTCATAGGTTGTCTATATCATTTTTATCGCTATACCACTATATCTCACACTTTAATAGTGAAAGAACAATAGGACTTGTCTCATAGTCACGTGCTATAATGAAAAAAAAAAAGTGAGTTAACAAATAATGAAGAACATAATATTAGAAAAATATCATACCAAACTATTTCAAATAAATGTGATATCCTGTAGGAAGAATGCAGTCTTGGAGTTGAATGTGACTCCAGTATATCAGATAATTACATTCGATATCATCCCATAGGTTTTTGGTTTTCATAATGATGATGAAATATATCTGTTATTCTGTTAATAAGTCTAATTGGACTGTAGATGTAAATTTTCATATTATTTACCCATAAATCAATTGGATAACGTTGTATGCAACATGCAATGCAATTTAAACTTTCATAACGTCCCAGTTCATCTTTTGGAGAAAAACTAAAAATAAGAACTCATAACTGTCTTGTTTAGCCAATCAAATATGTTTTGTATAAAAGAAAGTATGGTATCATTTTATTAAAAAGGCCAGTTTTATTTTTTTGTTTGCTGTTAAAGATGTTAATAGATATGCATCTTGCTAATCTATGTAATATTCGTAGATGTTAACAAAGTATATAACATTGATAATGTGTTTATGATAAACAAAAAGTTAAATGGTCAAATTCAGATGTCACTGCATTTGGTGGTTTTGAGAAAAAAATATCATTTGGTTTTACTTTCGAAAAGAAAACCAGGGTACTAAAATAGTATGTCTGTCCTATAATAACTATAAATTCTTCTTCAATAGTCAATTCAAATTGTAACACTTCATTTATTGGATTTTTTGTGTTAAAAGTATCCACTGTCCACTATCATCATTTAAAGCAAATTGATGCTATTGATTCAGATACCCAAGCTTCTTCTATTGTTAGCTTTATTAAACGGATAATCACATGTTTTTTTGCAGACTATGTCTCAAATCAGTTGTTCTAATTTTCATGGAACAAAAGTTGCACACCCTCCAACCCAAGGAAATACTACGCTTTCCAGTCACCATAAATTCCAATGTTTTCTTTTTGGTAAAATTTCAACCCTAATCTACTTTAAGTCCATTGGTAATCATTTCTTGAAATTAGTAACTTGAATTTTGGTCCACAAGTCTTCTATTATTTTCTCCTTGGGCATTTTAAACATTTGATCAACAGTCAAACATTCATATCATTTTAGTAACACTTCATTTATTGGACTTTTTTGTGTTAAAAGTACCCACTGTCCACTATCATCATTTAAAACAAATTGATGCTATTGATTGGGATACCCAAGCTTCTTCCATTATTAGCTTTATTGAATGGATAATCACACATTTTTTGCAAACTATGTCTCAAATCAGTTGTTCAAATTTTCATGGAACAAAAGTTGTACACCCTGGAACCCAAGGAAATGCTACACTTCCCGGTCCTTGTCCCATAAATTCCAATATTTTCTGTTTGGTAAAATTTCAACCCTAATCTACTTTAAGTCCATTGGTAATCATTTCTTGAAATTGGCAACTTGAATTTTGGTCCACAAGTTTTCCATTATTTTCTCCTTGGGCATTTTAGACATTTGATCAACAGTCAAACATTCATATCAAACAATATGCCTGGTCAACGAAACATATTTTTTGGGATGGAGTATTGCTGTACATCCACCAAATTGGCAACCATCATCGGCAAATGTACAAAGTTCTAAAAGACATTAAGAAATTAGTAAAACGACCAATGTTACCCTGTCCTACCCTTGTATTTTAGATATAAAGAGAAAGGCACGACTTCTTTTATATTTCTCTCTAGATCACTTGGCTTTCAACTTCTAAGCTTAATACTCTAGAAACAATGGAAAAGAGGGGCAAAAACCCTTGATATTCAATTATATAAGTTATGTGTATCCATGGCCATGCATTTCAAACTTATGTAAGTTCAGTTCAGCCAATACTCTTCAAAATTGGAGAAAAGTTAGTATTAAGGGTTCAACAGAGAAGATGCCATGTTTCTCATTTTGGTTAATAAATTTCAATTTCACATTAGACAAAAATACACAAGTCGAAGACATACAATGGTTAAATTTAGTTGTTTCCATGATTTACTGGTGTAGGAGTTTCGTTATTTGGTTTAGTTTGTTTCTATCATAAAGTTTTAGTTTGTACCATCGTCAAAACATCTTATAACTTAATTCCAATGCTTGCTCTATGAAAACAGGTGGCATAACCATGTTAGTGTCATTATATTAGCTATGATATAATAAAATGACCCAATAAGCTTGTGATTTTCATTAGAAATATTACATGGATAAGAAGGAATGAATAATGATATTCTAAATTGATACTTATATAAAAGTGTTGGGTCGCATGATATTTGGATGACATAGTTTTTTTGTATGATATGGAAATACAATGCCTAAAGTAAAAGTAAGAAGTAGAATCAAGTAAAATGATTAATGGAAGAGCTCAACTTGTCATCTGAACTGGTACAAAACTAACCCATTGTCATCTGCTTATAAACAATGAAAGATGACAATGGGTTATTTTGATAAAATAGGGTGGAAGGTTATAAAGAAAAAATATGAAAGTGAACATGACATTTTATCCGGTTCTTTCTGGAAAGGGTGAAAAGAGAAAACTTCAAAAATATAAGGAAATTACATGTCTCCTTATGCCAATAAAATTCAATTCTTTATATGAAAGGTAAGGGAGGTTATGTTTTATTGGTATAGGTAATGTCTTGGTGCATTTTATAGTTACTTTCCTCGTGACCAAATATCATAACATTTATGATCTCTCTACATTGAATATTGTTGTAAATTACGATCATCATAACTATACGTTGGGAGGTCAATCTCTTTCCTTTGTGTTTTGAAAAACATTCTAATAGGACAACTGGACAACCATTTATGTTTTCCTATATTTTTGTGGGACCAGGTTTTTGGCCCACTTGATTAGGGAGACTTGTAAAGTTGTCATAAGATGGTACTTGGGGGAAAGTTCTATCAATTTTGAAAATCTCTCTGACCTTGCCCAAGGGCACAGACGTCTTTGCTGAACATCCTTATGTCATTTCTCTCTTTTCTGATTGTGTGTTGAAACCTACTGGTTTTTTCAAGAGATCGTCTAATCAACTTCTGACATGTTTTGTAGGGAGGTAGAGTTGTCACGGAGAATCACAAAAACATGAAAGGAACAATTTTCATTTTCTTGAAAGAGGGTTTTTTGCTTCCTTGTTAATCTTAGTTTCGGTGCATTAGTGCATAAACAACTAATACGACATTCAGTTGTTGACAAAAAAAAGATAGAAATACAAAGCAATAAAAGGTAATAAATATAATGTTAGTAACAAATATAATGTTAGAAACCATCGTTTCTATTGCTTTCAGATTGTGTCATTGGATAAGCCTCTTTCAATTCTGTTGATATAAACGGAGAATATTGTAGTACTACACTTGTGCTGAAGTTCAGAATTGCAAAACGAGCTACAATGACTGGTATCATTATAGGAGCAGGCTGTATTATATGTCTTAAGCGTGTTCAAGCTCTAAAAATTCACCTGTTGGACTGTGCTACTTTGAGACAAGTAATTAGGGTTTATGCCCTCTCTTCCACCTAATATCAGTGCATGATTCGTTATTGTTGAATATATCTCTAGTGCAATGCATAACAAAACTGAAAGGGATTTGTAGTAATCTCTTTATATGTTTGTATTCTCTTTATCCTCAGATTTCGACTTCACAATGAACAATCAATACATTGCATCATCCTCTTTGGATAAGACTGTGAGGGTATGGGATATACCAAGGGGTCTTTGCATTCGAGTAATATATGGAGTTGCCCCGCAGCTATGTATACGATTTCACCCTGTAAGTGCACACCAACATTTATATGTTTAGCTTGATTATTCATATTGCATATACTAGTAAATATGGATTTTTCACCTAGCTGTATATTTGATTTCATCCTGCGAATGCGTGACAAAATTTGCAACTTCAACTTGGTCCATTTATATCACAAGCTTATCTTACACCTCCTTGCACTGGGAATTTAACAAATGTCGCCTTTTGTAAATACTAATCCCAATAAAGATTGTAAAATTAAACTTCCTTGTGATTTACGTTCCTCTTGTAAATCTGTTCATCAGTTGCTGCAATATTTATAATCAGACATGTCATCCGGGTGTAGCTTACATACTAGTACCATTTGCTCTTTATACAGGGCTAACTTTAAATTTCTTACAGAGTTGTATTGATCTACATTGTACTTGGCTATAGACTAATTACCTTCTTTGTTAAATTGCAGGTGAATAATAACTTCCTTTCAGTCGGCAATGCAAACAGAGAAATTTCGGTACTAAATGCATTTCTTTTGCTAACATCATTTTTATGGGAAACCATACTTAGATTATATGCAGGATCATCCACATCCTTAATAAATTGATGTCTATGTGGCAAGAGTAGGATAGAGGACTAGCTACATCGTCCCTCGCCCACTCGGCTGGTGACAAAATAGTAAAACAACTATATACTCTAAACATCCTAATTATTTTGTCAATCTTTCTTGGTGGGTGGAGAGACGATAGGACTGGATGACGGTTTTATTGTTGAGTAGAGAAGGTATCCTTTTAAGAGTTAACATCTGAATCTGTTTCTCTGAGTTTATCAGCTTTAAATGCTTCCTCCACAGAAGAAATTCAAGGAAATAATGATGAGCAATAACTATCTTAAACACAACACTAATAAACAGAAAGTACTACAATAACACATAAGAAAGGAAACCTTGACCCCATGAAAGAGTAACTGAACCGATTATCCAGTCTCAATGCTCTTATAGATTATTAGTTCTTGGTCTAAAGGTTCCTTTTGTCCTTTCTGCTGATTGTTAGCTGCTGAAGTTGGTAGTTGTTGATAGTTTCAAGATCTTTTAATCGACTTGCAATGTGAAAGTTATAATTGATTTCACATTCAAGCCAACATTAAGGAGCATACTGCTTCTATTAACCTGTGCATCCATTCAAGATAACAGTAAGGAATCATACTCTTTAATCCAGGTGTTGATGTACCCACAAGTACACTGCTTCTATTAACCTGTACATCAGAAATGAGATGCCAACAACTCTTAACCTCCTCAATTTCCTTTCTGGAATTTAGTTTAATGTATGTATAAGTTGTCTCATTATCAATTCTATATCATCTTTACATTTTGAGCTCTCCTATTTTTATGTAGTCTATCCATCTCACAGGCTTTTTATGTAATTCCTGTCTCAGGTATTCAATTTTAGTACAGGAAGATTAATAGATAAAACAGTCGTCGACAGCAAGGTTACTGCCATGGATTATGATAATACTGGTCGGTTTATTTTTTGTGGGGATGCGCAGGTGAGATTTTCAAACTGATTTTGTCAATTTTATTCTTGAAAACTCTTAACTACTCTAATTATTCAAAGAACCTTTACAAATGGTTGATTTTGATTTTGTAGGGGTGGATATATACAATTACTGTGAATTCCCATCAAGGTACCTTGTCTCGGTCCCATCGTGCTAGAAATAGCAGCAAGCATAAATCCGAAGTCACAACTATCCAGTATAGAACATTTTCTCTGCTGACACGAGGTCCTGTATTGCTCTCTTTTTCTCGGGATGGAAGTTTGTCTTTCTTCAGGTATTTGTTTGAGCTCATTGTTTCGTTCCTAAATCTTCTGTCACACGATATTGATTGGAACAAGTTATGTTCGGTTCTTGCAGTGTTTCTTTGGAGTTACAAGGTTATTTGACATTACGTTGCTCACTCAAATTGGCTCCACGACTTCATAGCATCCGTGCTTCTTTTTGCCCATTGCTTTCCCTCGAGAAAGGAGAATTTATAGGTTTGTACTGATAACTGCTTCTTCATTCCCTTGTGTCAAACATCCTCCTTAACTTACCACCAAAATTGTATGATCCATATTTACTGACATAAGGGAAAGTTCATTTAGAAATCGTAAATATTTTGAGAACCCGGGAACCAACTATTTAATAAGTTATTCATGATGAATAACCCTAAAATATATATGAATATTATTCATCATGAATATCATACATTTTCATTATTCATGCTATTCATCATGAATATCTATCACGATATTTATCATGAATAATTCATGAATAGTTCGTTCCCAGATTCTCAAAGTATTTACGGTTCCTAAATGAACCTGTCCTTACTGAAGTAAAGATGCATGTTGATTGTGAAGTTGCTGGGAGTGAGGATGCATCTGTCTACTTCTATGACTTAACTCGACCAAAGCATACATGCGTTAACAAGTTACAGGTTTGTTCTTTCTTTATAATCAGATTCATTTCTTTCATAACAACTTTGTTTGCCATCGATCCATTTTGTTCATTCATTGTGAATGCAGGGACATGGATGCCCAGTGATTGGTGTTGCCTGGAATCATGGTGAGAATTTGTTGGCCTCCTCAGATTACAGCGGTACCGTCATTGTGTGGAAGAGAGCAAAGACGAATGAAAAAAGTAGAAATTTCTGAGTGAAGTTTCAAAAAAACACACCAAAGGGATTTGGAAGGTCCTCATGCTTTCTCCATTACTCCAAAGTTTTGGTATCTGATATCTCATACAAATTTGTTGCTGATAGATAGTTTACATTACACATATTAAGAACGTATACATACACCTATCCTTTCAAATTATATATACAAAAAGACATACTAAAAGGCTCTTTTGCTAGTTCAACACGTCTTTCTTTGCCAGATTGATCTAAACTTGATCAAGTTTGTAAACCTTGTAGATTGTTGTGCGAAAGAAATTTGGTATTGATGTATTTGTTTTTATGTTTTATGAATATTTGTGGGTTTTGTAGAATCATGATGTTAATTAGAAGGATGTCAAGTTATCTTGAACAGACCTCCTGGTTGATGAAAGGAAATGATAACTTCATTTCTATAACTTTCCAAGGGCTTCTGATTCTCCAGTTCCAGGTTTTCACCTCATCTCATCTCTCCTAGATTTCTATAGAGCAGTTAGAATCATGATGCTAGTTAGAATACTCTGGTTTTTAACATAACAGTTTTTCCTGAATTTCATAAAGAATAACAAGTTCACAAAAATATGCTCCATCCATCTTACAGAATTCACATTTCAGTGTTCTTTTAGCAAACTTCTCGGTTAGATTTAGAGATAATAGGAGCAGAGGCCACCAATGTACTCCCTTCATCCCAAAAATGTTACCATGATGGAGAAATAATTTTTTTATCATGTTCCACCAATAAGAACCCTTGAAACTAAATGTTTAGGAGAGAAAAATAATATTTTATTAAATGCATAGAATAATTTAATAATATAATTAACAGTGTAGGAGTTGAATGCAATTTTTTTAGAGATTTTGAATTTTGATTCTCTATTTTGGAGATGCTCTAATTAATTTCTTAGTTCTCTATCTTATCATTAATTGTAGAACAGGAAAGTAAACACTTACTTTTCAATAAAAATGAATGCTTATTTTGAAACAAATTTTTAGTTTGGTACCCAGGAGTTTATGAACCTGATTTTGTTTCAAAGAGGGGAACCAAACTTGAATACTTGCATCATTTGCACAAACCTGGTCAAACAATGATGACTATTATACCCCATGTTCGAAAAAACTAAAAGAGATCCTGACCAAATTTTTTGAAAAAGCAGGGGTACAACAGTCATTTTTATATGCAGTAAGTAAATCCTGGCTGAATTAGTGCAAAATCACACTGGTATTTAACTTTGATGGTCTTGGCACAAAATGAAAGTGAAAACCTGTGCATTGGTAGCCTCAGATCCCGTTATCCTTTTAGTTTATATAGTTGCCTTCAAGTTCATGATGATGTGGTTTCCCTTAAGTTGAAAACTAGGAGTTATATCTGAAAAACTTCATCTTTATTTAGTGATGGTTTACGGGTCTAACAAAATGGTCAAAACACGTATATTAATATAGCTATAAGGGGTATTTTAGTCTTTTAGCTGATACTCGGAACACTTTTATTAACCTAGAGCTAACTTCACTACATCTCAGGTGCTATAAAAAACTTGCACCCCGAAATGAGAGCATATTAGTTAAAAAGTAAAAAACTACCAATAAGTTACTGCACCTGCTGCGGGCTTCTTTTGAACAAGACGGTTCAACTCTTTCACCACTGCATCAATTTCTTCATCTCCCTTTTTGTCAATGTTTTTGCTGAACTTCTTCGCATTCTTCCTTACCACATCTCCACCCTTCTCCACCACCACCCGCCTGATCACCGCCGTCACCTCCTCTCTGTGAAGCCGCCCATCTGAGTCACGAACAACCTCGATACCGACACCAACTTCCTCCACCAACCGTGCATTGACTGGTTGGTCAAGGTGCATTGGCATTGCTATGATGGGAATCCCAAACTTAATGCTCTCCATAACAGAATTCCAACCACAATGGCTCACAAATCCACCAATACTAGGGTGGTTCAAGATCCTGATTTGTGGAGCCCATCCTTCTACCACTAATCCCCTATCCCCTACCCTTTCAAGAAACCCTAATGGGAGTTCATCACAAACCCTGGTCTTCTCTCCTTTTGGAAACCTCACTACCCATATGAAACTAACATTACTCTTCTCCAACCCATATGCTATCTCTTCCAGATCCTCCTTTGACAAGAAGAACTCGCTCCCAAAAGAAGTGTATACCGTGGACCCCATGGCTTTCCCATTGAGCCACTTAATAATATCTGAACCCTCTTCTTCAAGGTTCGGATCTTTAATTAGTGGCCCAACGGGAATGATCTTTTTCCCTACAACACCAGACAAATAATCATTGTACTTGCCTTCCAACTCCGCAAAAGACTTTATCAAAACGATATCGTGTGACAAACGGAGTGCTAGGATCCCACGTTGCCTCTCCTTCTCGTAATTCCTGTCCTTCTTCAGTTCATCCTCTCGTTGGGATTGTGCACGGGACTCGTAATCCCTATAGTAAATAGTAGGAAAAGGGAACACCTTGTAAGGATGGTGGACATGATGGAACTGGAAGGATGTCATTGTGCCGCTGCTACTGATAAACTCCACAGCAGGGATGTCACGTTCAGCGGCGGCAGCCGCCGCCCACGGCTGGAGGAGATCATAAATGACCAAATCAGGCTTAAGGGTGTCCAAGATGTTACAAAAGTTGGGCAAAGACATATCAAGGGCTTGTTTCAAGGTGAACATAAGATGGGTTGGGAGGCCCATGGTGGTGTGAAAGTGCGGTGGGAGTTCCGGTAGAGATGGGAGGTGTAGTTTAACGAGTTGGATGGAATCGCTGATTTTGTCTTTGATTCCATCAAGGATGATGGGGGTGGAACATAGGTATACCATGAAGTTTCTGTCGGTTAGTTTTTTTGCGAGCTCGAGGAACGGTGAAATGTGGCCATGAGCAAGCCATGGGAACATCAAAATACTCATCTTGGTGTTGGTCATCGCCATGGTTAGCTGGTGGTGGGTGGTGGTGGTGGTGGTGGTGGTGGTGCTGTGCATTGTATTTATAGATTATATGTTCCTGATTTAAATGCAGGATAAATAGTTTAAGAGCTTTGATTCTTATTTTCATGGATAGGAGATTCACCTTCCATGTTTCACCTAATATCCCATAAATAATTGTTTTTTAATATCCTTTAGACGATTATTATACTACTTTTTCCATTAATCAAATGTTAGTATTAGTTTACTAGTAGCTTTTGCTCCAACTGATACTAACCAGTCTTTTAAATCAACAGTTGTAACGTCTAGTCTTACAACTGATATGATATTGTATTTTGACTCTTTTAACATAATGGTTTTCTTTTTAAATTTGTACAAAAAAACATTCAAATGGGCCTTCTGTCTCCTGATAAACACTCTGGGGAATTCGAATGAATTGAAATGACAAATTTCCTTAATCAAACTTCAATTCCTTTGTTTGGTCCAATTCTTAAAATGGATGGAATCCTTCAAATTCCATTGAAATCCACAAATTAATGAATTCATCATTTCTTAACATAATAGAAGGAATTGAATTCCATCGCCATACACCACGACTATGCTACTATTGTTTGTCACGCCCCATCCTTAACCCTCAACCACCACCACCACCACCACCACCATACCACCATTGTCGCCGCCGCCATTGTCGTCGTCACAATTACCAACCCGTAACCCATCCCCACCGCCTTGCCCTGCCCTGTCGCCCCCACCTCCACACCCACACCACAGTTGTCGTCTTCACAACCGTCACTCACCTGCACCCCACCCTACCCGAACCCACCACTAAACACCATGCCAATATTGTTGTCATCATACCCACCCACTCCAAGGCCCAAGCCACCCGACCACTATCATTGTCACGGCTACCACCCCACCATATCCTAAACTATCATCATCACAGCTACCACCCCTCCACCTACCCCTACCCACCCTACTGTCCGCTCCCCACCTACCCCTACCCCTACCCACCCTACTGTCCCCTCCCCACCTTACCCTAACTCCAACTCACCACTATCCACCATCCCTACCATTGTAGTCGTCACAGCTGCCACCTACTGCCCCACTCTAGCCCCACCTCCAGCCTGCCTGCCCCACCAACCCCTACCTATGGAGCATGGGTGGGACAAGAGTGGTGGGGGCGGAGTGATGGCTGTGACGACGACGGTAGTGACATGGTGGTTGGTAGGGTGTGGGCAGGCGGGGCGGGGCGGGGCGATGAGCGTGATCGTCCAAACATAGATGATTATTCCAATTCTTTTGAGATATTTCATTCAAAATCCTACCAACAAAATGCGTGGTCAAATTCTTTCAAAGTCAAATTTCTTTGATAGATTCTAATTTCATCAAATTCTATTATGTGAACCAAACACCCCCTTATCTTTTTTATCGAGGACATCAAATACCGAATTTGACACTCAAATCATCCCAATGAAGACATCAAATCTTACACCAAATGATGATAAAAAAGAATATACTTAGAATCTTACATTTTGGTATAAGATTTTTGTTACCCATTTGAGAATAGATCTATTTTTTGTTACCCATTTGAGAAGAGATCTATTGTTTGTACAAATTTTACACCAAATTCTATGGATTTGGTGTAAAATTTAGTGTCACCGTTGGAATAATGGCGTACTTATTTTGCTTCATGTTTTGGGGAATGAACAATATGTCTTTATTTCATTCATGCAGAGTGTATTTGTGTTCCGTAAGTTTGATAGAAATACAATAATACAGGCATTGTTATTTATATTGAATAAGACAGAGTTCGATAATAGTTCCATAGATACAGAGTTGAAAGAAAATGATATCATCACATTTACAATTTCATATACATATAGTAACTATTATTATAGAAAAAGGAGCTTTAACGTCTTTCAAATCGAATTGATTACAATGGTAATAAATGATATTTTTTCGGTCGAATGCAGTGACGAACTCTTCTTGCCAAGTGGGTGCACCTTTAATTAATGGCCCGCAAGATCGTCCGATGTGTTTTCAGTCGAATTCCGTCATTTCAAGGGATTTTTAAAGTTTTTTGGATGATTTCTGAAGATTTTTCTGTTTTTGATTGATTTCAAAGTACTTTTTTCAGTTTTTTGGTTGATGTTTTTTATATTTTTATTATATTCCGGAGCACCCCTCAAAGTTTATTATGCGTACCTTTCATACCTCAAAAAAGTTCTACTTACAAAAATAAGTCGTGCACCCGTTCGGACATATATAGGTCAGCCCCTAGTCATATGTCTAGATAGTATAATTATATTTGAAATGACATTTTTATCTCTTAACACAACTATAGAATGATAACAACACACTATAAGGTTGTGGAAACTTTATCCCTTTTTCTACTAGGACAATTCAGCATTATCATGTTTATTCCATCACATTCTTATATGTTATGTCACCCTCAAAGCCAATATTGTATTCTAATAACTTTTTAAACTATAGATTTTAAACGTATTTTTTAAAAATATGTTTTTTAGCAATAAATATTGAATTAAAGTACGTTGTTTTTTATATAATTTACTTTTTTATTTTATGTAAACAACTACTTCAAATTAATTAAAATTTTCATAAAACAAGTATATTACATAATCAACTCAATAAAAACAACCAAATGGCCTTTGGTCAAGCGATATGTGAGTGTATTTGTTCTATTTATATATGAATATTATATACTTAAAAAAAACATATATTAGTTCAAAATGATCGTCATCGAAGTCCAAAAAACATTTCTTTTGCTTAACAAATATTAAAAATATATATTATATGTTCCTAAATATAAATTTTTAAATGGGTGCAAGTGCAAGAGACACAAGTAGGATACATAGGAGTTGATTAGTACGAAGTCGTGATGGAGACCTTCTTGTTGCATTTGGTTGTCAAATAAGATATCCAACAAAATATAAATTACATATCAATTATTTTATAAATAAATGAAAATTTATATATAATCCAACAAAAAGTCCAAATACGTCATTGAAAGTGTGGGACAAGTGAGAGTGAGATAAGCGGATGAAATAACTGAGGGTTTTAGTGTTTTAGTTTGACGCTGATTGTTTAGTAATTTATCAATTTTATCTCATTTTTCTGATTTTTGTTCCGCAAATTTCCGTGCCCATCATCTCCCGTTCTAACTTTGTGTCAAATGAAGGACATCAAGTTTTTGTTATGTCATATAATGTTTTGTTTACGTACCAAATGTACCATGTTTTGTTTACTTGAATTTGGATCCAATTTTGGGTGTTTTTCAACTAACGTCATAGTCCAAACTCAACAACCGAATGCTAAACAACTTAGCCTCGAATTACTGGTTTAATAAAAGTTCCAACTTGTACAGGATAACATGAAATCAGTAAACAATGCAACAACAAAAGCATCACACATATTTAACGTGGTTTCACTGTCTATTTGATAATATACGTCCATAAACAAACTGAAGATGATTTATTTCATTAATAAATAAAAGTATACAAAATTGACCTTAAAAAAATACAAGTTCTACACAAAATGGCAACCACAAACCTTCCATTTTCTAATACAAAAATCGAGACAAGAATAAATTCTACGAATCATACAGATGCTTTTTCTTTTATTTTAATGACAAATCTGACCTAAACCTCTATAAATCAACTATCACTCGGTCTTCCGAATTCTCATGCACTTGAAATGTCGGCTTTGCAAGTGACTTCCAAGTTTCATGCACAAGTCACTTACCACCAGATAACTTGTATGTGCGACTTTCAGCTTGCATTTCCATGTGAAATGTAACGTACCAAGAGTTTCTCCCATGTCTACTTGACCTGCAAAGCAAGTTGCAAGTCACACAAAAATCTGATCACTTTCAACGATAGTTATGTATCACAAATTCTAACTGCGATTTTGGCTCAGTGGTAGGGGTTTGCAGAAAACCATTCGATCCAATATAAACTGACCGATCCAATTAGAACCGATTGATTATAATCAGATGTCAAATTGTAATTCGATCAATTTGGATTTGTCAGTTATTGGATGACCGTTCAGAATCCAATAAAACTGAGCAGATCCAATCCAATGACCATCCAATTAATAACTATATATTATTATGAACATTTTACGAAATTGTCTTTTAGTTGATATTAATACGTAGTGTCTTTTTGATGAATTAAGAAACTATACGAATAATTGGTTGAAAATTGAATCAATATACTAGATGTATCCAATTCAATCAAATGGATAACCAATAATAATATCCAATAGATGAATCCGATCTGATCCAAACATCAATTGGATGAAATTGGATCGGATGACAAAAATCCAACATCTCCTAGATGTTTGGATCGGATCAGATCCACCTAAATCCATTAAATTTCAATCAATGAACACCCTATTTAGCAGTATCCGACAACCCAGTCTCTATAAAGTTCAAGAATTTCAATCTCACTAAAACAGAGACGTATGTATAAGTTTCATTCACCGTATATAAATAATTGGATACTGATTATACAAGGTGGGAAACATATACATGTCATGTACATCATAGAATTACATGATCAAGGGAATATCCATGTAAAAAGACGTGCATACCCTTGGAAAAAAGCTAGTTCTTATGTTTTGTCAACTCTGACCAAAAAAAAATTCAAAAAAAACCCCATTATTTTATTTTTGTTAAGTTTTTAATAAGGATTTATTTTTTGATAATCGCTGATTATAAGTTATAATAATATTGATTGTGATTTTATAAGTCTATTTTTTTATTTTATTCAGGTTAAGAATATATTTTAGATATTAATTAATAATTAAATATCTTTATTAAACTATATTTTAAATTATACTAAAAGAGTATTTGCGCAATGCAGCTAGACATATTTCAATTTTAGTGTTCTATTTTATTATTTGTCTCTGTCGATGTTATAATACGATTTTATGTGTTTTTAAGAAAACAATAATGATTTTATTTTTGAATAAAATATAAATTTAAA